TACTGGCCACTAAAAATTCTTAATCCACCCGCCACTGAGCCGGAAATTGTTTACATTTCGAACTTTTGAATACCGGCATTATAAAAAGTACCTAATTTGAAAATTTAATTCCTAGTAGGTAATTTTTTTAGTTTGATATTATTTTATCCAAAGATTTTTCAACACAAAGGAATCTCACAATGGGGACATTGAAGCAAGTTTCTTTCCTTTCGCCGTGATTTTTGCAAATTTTGCAACGTTTTTGAAAATAAATTTTATTTTCATTTCCGGATTCCGTTTCTTGTGTATTGAAAATGAATTGAAATTGAAATGAATTGAAATGAAATGAAACTTCTTTTTTCTTATAATATTTATTATAAGAAAATTTATCTGCGTTCATATATATTAGAATTCACATCACTTTCTTTTTTTTTTCATCATTTCTCCCGTTTTTCGATTTATTTTGGCGATTTCTTTTTGAAATATGTTTTTATCTATCCTTTCATGAATTAATGAGTCATGCCGCATATTCTAATTGTCCTGGAAAGTAAGTGCTCTGCTAATTCAACACTATTATAATGGTTATCCATTTAAATATGATACCAAATATTTCCATATTTATTTAAAACATTTTTAGGGGATTTTACAACTTCTGTCCACTTTCGTAGAATTGAAGTGCTTATGCTTAGTGCTTGTGCAGATTCGCTTAACATTCTGACACTCATGCCATAGTTAGCAATCTGTCCTGGGTTGTAGACTGAGAAACTCTGTGGGGTATCATTGCCTCATGCAATGCAAGATTGTGATTTTTTGTTGTTTTATTGTTCATTCAATTTTGGCATTTCATCATTAATACAAAAATGTATTGATTATAATGTTGGCCTAAACCTATTTCAAGGCACGACTTTACTAAAAATTAGTTCTTCATTCTGTAAATCAGTAGACCACTTTTTCTCACTTGTCCCACTAATATGTTCAAACCAAGAATTTATATTTGTGCATATTTTGCATATGATTTCTGCTTGTTTCTTTTACTAATAATTTTAAAAAAATATCGCCAATAAATAAACACTTTAACTTTATCGTTTCCCAAAAATGCATTTTAATTAATATCACCATCGTTTCCGGACCAGTGCGTGGTTCAGTTATTCTCTCCGTTCTCAAATCCTCTACCCTCCGAATCGTTGATCTCAGCATCACTTACCAACAATATAGTGGTCCTACTAAGGTAAAAATTGATGCGCCGCAGGTAAAAATTTCCGTGCATTCATTAACTTACATGTTGCAACATTTTCCTTCTAAACAGAGAATTCCAAACACAAGATCTGGGCATATTTTGAGAAAACACTGTCGTAAAAATGCCGATTGACGATCTGACAGCAGCCATGTTGTTGTTATTGAATGGCGCAACGTCATAATAAGTTCCTACCTAATTAATAACACAGGTCTACAGTGATATTGATGTTTGAAAGATGTTTGTTATTTGTATATTTTTGGGTGCCCTTTTTCCAAAAAAAAGACATATTTCTGCTCTATGACGTCATTCTATTCGTATTTTATTTATATATATATATATATATATATATATATATATATATATATATATATATATATATATATATATATATATATATATATATATATATATATATATATATATATATATATATATATATATATATATATATATATATATATATATATATATATATATATATATATATATATATATATATATATATATATATATATATATATATATATATATATATATATATATATATATATATATATATATATATATATATATATATATATATATATATATATATATATATATATATATATATATATATATATATATATATATATATATATATATGATGACACTATATTCCGGGATATCATCCGTTCGCTCGTTGAACTCCGACTGGAATCCTGCAAATCTTGCATCCGACTGGAATCCTGCAGACGTTTCGCCAAAATCTCACTTGGCATCTTCAATGCTCGCGCTCCGAAAACACTTCGAACACTTGTGTTTTCGGAGCGCGAGCATTGAAGATGCCAAGTGAGATTTTGGCGAAACGTCTGCAGGATTCCAGTCGGATGCAAGATTTGCAGGATTCCAGTCGGATGCAGGATTCCAGTCGGAGTTCAACGAGCGAACGGATGATATCCCGGAATATAGTGTCATCACATTTTTCCATCCGTGAATCAATACGTGAGAATATATATATATATATATATATATATATATATATATATATATATATATATATATATATATATATATATATATATATATATATATATATATATATATATATGATATGATGATGACACTATATTCCGGGATATCATCCGTTCGCTCGTTGAACTCCGACTGGAATCCTGCATCCGACTGGAATCCTGCAAATCCTGCATCCGACTGAAATCCTGCAAATCCTGCATCCGACTGGAATCCTGCAGACGTTTCGCCAAAATCTCACTTGGCATCTTCAATGCTCGCGCTCCGAAAACACTTCGAACACTCGAACTTCGAAGTGTTTTCGGAGCGCGAGCATTGAAGATGCCAAGTGAGATTTTGGCGAAACGTCTGCAGGATTCCAGTCGGATGCAGGATTTGCAGGATTCCAGTCGGAGTTCAACGAGCGAACGGATGATATCCCGGAATGTAGTGTCATCACATTTTTCCATCCGTGAATCAATACGTGAGAATATATATATATATATATATATATATATATATATATATATATATATATATATATATATATATATATATATATATATATATATATATATATATATATATATATATATATATATATATATATATATATATATATATATATATATATATATATATATATATATATATATATATATATATATATATATCTATGACACGTTGGGCATGATTTTTATTAAATTAAATATGATTTGGCAACACTGGATAATATTAGATTTCCCTAACAAAGCACCAGAGTTGGCGCAGAAGCGTCAATGCAGCGTTGTAACCTACTTATGCACAGTATGGTTGTTTTGGCCGTCGTGCTACTGTGTTCGCGGCTGTTGTCTTCGTGGTTGCTTATTTATAGTGTTCTAGAACATATAAATATGGAAAGATATTGCGTGAATAATCCAAATAACTTTTATTGTATCTGTGGGAGTTAGGCCACCAACTACGCTTATTTTGATATAAAAATTGGCGACCGAGACAAATTCTGGGCTCTTCATACTATTTGTTTCGTTTGCGTCGAAGCATTAGGAAACTGGTATGGCGGGAGCCTAGGAATCAAAGTGATGATTATAATCTTTGTTCGTGTAATGTTCAAGGTTCAACCGAAAAAATAAGAAATAAATGTTGTTTGCCAATCTTGACTCTGTTATTCGATCTGTACCGATAGCTACCCCGCCAAAAGAACTAGAAAACGTCATATTGTCAGAATCAGAGGAATCCAATTCCGACCGAGATGACTCAGATTTAACACCTATTTCAGAGTGTCCGAAGTGTTTAACCAGAGCGAATTAAATAATTTAATTAGGAATTTGCACCTTCCAAAGGATGCATCCGAATTGTTAGCGTCCACACTTTATGACATTTACTGGCCCCCGGCGTCATATCAAACTTTTACCAGGATCGCGAAAAAAAGTTCCGTCAATATTTTACTCAGGAAGGACCGCTAATGTATTGCAACAATTTTCCTGACTTAGTTTCAAAATTAAAAAATGTGCCGTATATAAAAGAAAAATGGCGCCTGTTTATTGTGTATTGTAACAAACTGACCTCGGTTCCCGTTGCACATTAAGTATATTTAACAGAAACGTATGAGACTTTAGGACTTCTTTTGAAGAAAATAAACTACCACAAACATCAGTGGATGCTTTGTGGTGACCTGACCTGATAGCCCGGCAAGAGATAGATATGGCCCTCTAGAACAAGCCTTACACCTGATAGTAAAAAAATTAGTTGACCCAAAAAAGTTTTACTGCTTCCCCTTCATATCCAGCTTGGCTTGACGAAGCGGTTTGTTAAAGCCTTGCGCAAAAATAGGCAAAGGTTTCAAATATTTGTCCGAGAAATTTCTGGCCATATCTGGTGCCAAGATAAAAGAAAGCATTTTGGTTGGGCCGCAGATAAGAACATTATACAAATATGTTACAACACTTTCATCGCGTAGGTTGTAATACGAGTTTGAAAGTGCATTTTCTGTTTTCGCATTTGAACCATTTTCCTGAAAATGTTGGAGCAGTTAGTGAAGAACAGGGGGAGAGGTTTCACAGCGTTTAAGTGTTAAGTGCTATTTTTTTCACGAGTTAAATAATCTAGAAATCGTTAGGGCATTTTGATATAATTTAATTATCCGCTAAATTTAAAAATGTTGACACTGAGAAACAATTCCTGTCAATTTGCGACAACTAGTAATGCACTAGACGAAGATGTCATGCTATAACGTAACTGCATAATTCCTCTGACTGGAGTTTAACTCTCTCTGGTAGCTATATAATTAAATCGTTTTTTTTTATATTAATTGTTTTTCGTCTGTATCGTATTCATCCCCAGATAATACGTCAGCATATAACTCATTAGTCTCATTGCAAGTTTTTCATTCAAAATCGTCGCGTCGTCTTCACAAAGAATAACACAAAATGATTGTGTCCAGAAACGTATTAAAACGTCAGCGGCTACTAGATTTCGAATAAAAAATGACATAATATTATCACGTCAACGGCCTATAATGAGTTAACAAACACAATAACTTGTTGAAGGTGTCCTTCACTTTAAGGCGACTGATTTAATTTCTTAATCGTCCTTCTCTGCATATTTATATTCCTTTCGCAGAATCACCCAATTTGCAAATATTGCCGGAATACATTCCAAGTTTTATTTGGTAGTTACGATACTATGATAACCATTAATGCTTGTAAACGTTGGTTTGGATTGGTTGTTTCGGTATCTACTTATTTGGTGCCCAGTGTCATCCCGTCACCGAGACACTAATCGTTTCTGTTCGCAGCCCCCTACCGCACCACGTATGGGGTCGCTCGTCCTCGGGGGAGAATGCCCCGTCGGCGCCGACGGTGCCCAGCGTCCGGAGAACGCGCTCGACGCTCTGTTAGACGAGCTGCAGACCTTTTCCAAACCCCACCCCGGTACCCAATCGTCCTCTGACAGTTCCGAACCGCCCGCGATCCCAGCCAAAGGTATTCCGCCCGTAAGGGCTCCGCAAATGGCCGAAATCGGCAGGAAGGGTAGTATGGATTCCGCCTCCTTCCTGCCGAGCAATAATTTGACGGTTAGCACGTCCACCGGTAGCTTGAGACGATTGCATTCGTACCCCAGCGGATCGGATACCGACAACAGTCCCCCCATCCAGCCGTTGCAGAGTAGCAAAACGAATAGCAAACCCCCCATTCCAGAGAGGAATGCCGAACTACTTCAGCATCTAGCCATGGGGAAACGAGTGCCACCCCCACCGCCGCCTAGAACCAGTTCCAAGTCACCGCTGGCATCACCAACGTCTCCCAGTTTGCCGCCGAGGTCAGCGCAGCATAACCAGACCAACGAGAAGCCCATATCCCAGTTCGAACAGGCGACACAAAACCTGGGACTGCAGACTTTGAGGAGGAATATCCCCAATAGGTCCAGCGTTAAGGCGCAGACTTTACCGAGGAATTTGGGATCGAACCTGCAGGTGCCGAACGATTCCTCGGACCCGATATCGGCGAGCAACAGCAGTAGTTGCGAGAGCGTCAATTCGCAGGATAGTACGAAAAAAACGAGGAAGGAAGAGCTCGAGCAACGTCACCAAGAACTGCTGAAGAAGCAGAAAGCACTCCAGGAACAGTACGCGAGATTGCAACAGCTGCAACGAGGCAACAATACGTTGGCGGTTATCCCTCCCGCTCCGGACCAGCTGCTGAAGAAAACAGGAAGCGAATCGAACCTGCTTCAGAAGATGGGTTTCCAGCTGGCCACTTCGCAGATCACGGGATCGTTAAACAACATCCCCAATACGACTTCGAGCACAGTCAACAAACCTACCTTGACCAGTACGAACAACCCTAATCCTGCTCAGGGCGCGAACGAGCACCAACCGGAAGACAGTGGCGGAGAGAAGAACGGCAATCAAACCGCAGAGACGAAAACCAGCAAGGTGTACGAAACGGAGATACTATGACCTACCAACGCGGAAAGTTTGCAGCTCATACGTTGAAAATTTTTGCACGGATACTTCAACGCTCATATCACAAATTTTGGATTGTTGATTCTTTTTTCTAGTTGAATGTTAGGTGTTGAACGCGGATATTCGGTTAATCTTAATTTATTTTATTATTAATATAAAATTAATTATCCATATAGCTGTTAATGTGAGGCATTTAAATGATGACACTATAAATTTGGTACGGGTCCATCGGAAACGTGTCTACCTAAATCGACATGACTCCCAAAAAGTAAACCAGAGTGGTGCCAGGAATTTGTACTTTAAATGATTTTCTGATCGACCATTCTTGTCCATTCATGAAGAGCCTTGTCTTTTAGAGTTTGAAGAATATATCCTTAGATAGGTATAGAGAGCGTGTGAAAAGCACACCGTGATCTTTAAAATGCAGAGTATTTCTATGGTGCTGTCTTTGGTTTACTATCATAGGGTCAGTCAGACTAAAAGGTGCCGTTTTATTTTATACCAAACAATTCTAGTCAAAATAGTATAAATATCCTTAATATAATTACTATAGAATAAAAGATGATTTGTCAATACTTATGGTTTAAAGTAAATTTTATATTCCAAACTATGTGTTCACCAGCCCATTGTAACATGTTGAGAAATTTTTAGCTGTTTGCACAAAACTTATTAAAATTTTCACAGTGTAAATATCGACATTTAGATGAGTTAAAAAACAAACGAAACAACAAACCAGACCTGTAAATAACAAGGGTTAATCCAAAATGAACGTTTCAGTTTTGGTGTTTTGAAAGTCCGAATGGATCTTGCTCAAAAAAAAAGCACCTTACTTTGACCTTGTCTTATGAAGAAAAAATCCAACCTTTCGCGAAGTTGTTCATTTTGTTCTTACGAGGGAATTTCTTCCAATCTATCACTATGAGTCCTCCATTCGTAATATCGCAGCTTACATGTAATACTAATAACAATTAACAATGCCTGTATTTTTGGAAATTGTTACCTTAGATCTAATCACAAGTGATTAGTTTTTGTTACAAAAAGTCGCAACATATAGTAGAACGGAACAAACAGCAGAACATGTACATATAAGACAATTACCGTGGATAAACGCAGTGGCTACATTAATATTTTGGGTGCCAGTAATGTCATTGAAGACGGATAAATGTATAAATAAACACGATTAAAACAAATGGCCTTTTCTTCAATCCCTCATGAAACGACCAGACGCAAAATCAGATTGGAAAACAACACAATTTACTTCCGGGAGTAATTTTTACATAATTTTCAAAAGCACGACAAATAACTCGCAAATTAACTAGATCCTGCCCTGACTACCGCCGGTAAAATACAACAATTTGAAAAAATGATTAGCAACCATAACTATATAAATTGTGGACAAAAAATATGTCCAATAATAAAACAGGTCACCTATAGGATCTAAATGAAAAAAAAAGCAATGTTGAATGAATTTTAACAAGTTTATTACCCTATTTCAGTCAAGCATATTGACTATTGAAGAAAAATTGACACTGTTGCATGGGCCATACAAAATAGAAGCCCAAGAAAAATTTAATAATTTTCTTTGATAAATTGCAAAATTTGTTTTCCTGTAGTCCAAACGCAGACTTGCGCTTTTACATCGCATTTTATGCCACTTTCAATTAAAGTGCCACACTTAGACTTCTGCACAAGATCAGAACATTTGTATTTGTCCCTAACACAGGCGACATCATCATCTTTCAATCTCAAAATTGGACATAAATCATTATATCCATCGCCCACATAAAAAACCCGATTGTAATTGACATTTTTTTCCATTTGAGATTTAATGAAATCCTCCATAATCTTACCTTTGCATAAATTTCGTGTACTTAATTTACAGCAATCTTGGACATGATACATTTCAATTTTTAATAAACCATTATCTTTAAATACGGCCGGATTTGAAAATACCTTTAAAACTTTTGTATCAAGTTTAGATTCTTCTAACCATTCCTTTATGAAATAAGTGTTGGAGTCACTGATTATTATAATGTCAAAATTGAAATTATCATAAAGCTCTGTGATTAAACCCTTCATCCCATCCACAGCTGGTATGTGTCGAATTAAATCCGAAATATCATACTCAGTTACTTTGTTTTCATGTAATACCGAAAAGACACCTTGCATAAATGAGGTCCAACCCTCGTGCTTGTGCAGTTGACGAATTTCTTTCGTAATTTTTTCTGGAGCCACTAGCTTGGCTACCGCTGTGTCAGAATTATCATCTATGATAGTATAATCAAAGTCAAACACTGCTAAATTTTTCATAGTCTAAAAGATAATAATCGGAAACTTACAAAATTCTTCTAATCAAATATGACCTACCCTTAGAATGTGGGTAAACTGGATTTCTGCAGCTCGTTTAAATAATCCGATCATAAAATGTCATTACTAATTTATTTTCACTCTGCTTAATATATAAGAAATTTAAATATTTTGGTTTATTTTCTCACATTTTCTGTTAAAATTTTGATAGACAAACAAAAGACATCGACAATTTGTATTTAGATGCCGCAAATCACAAACCACTACTTCTTCTTCTTTGCTGTTTACAAACAGTTGGGCAAGACTACTATGGCCATTCGCCTATTACCGACATTTGAAGAGGAATTTATTCTTTTGGTTACAGACCAATAGTTAACAAAAAAGCTATTATCAACATTTATTCTCGTTTTCCAATATAGTACTTTGACCGATAACAAAAAAAACGGCCTCCCCCGCTTCCCCCGTGGACCATCCGGGACCATCCGGCCTCAACACCGGCGTGAACGAGAAAAAACCGAGGCGCCGGCGATGATTACACCTTTCAAACACTCACTAGACACTAAAAAGACTAAATCCACTCTGTGGAAACCGATTCCATAATTATTGGGGACGATTACAAAGGATTCTGTCGGGAGCGAACGAAGGTTAGACCGCCGCGTGCAATCCGCACCAACAGAATCCCCCACAAACCGCTAAAGTGCATTTTCTTCTTCTTCTTTTACTTCTGTTAGCCAAGATTGCCAGAATCATTCATCCATAAAGTGTATTTTATTTTCTGTGCCGCAAAGTATTCTTCTTCTTTGCTTCTTATGGGCGAATGTGCTTCCGGCATAGAGGGGATTTAGAATATACATTTATTAATTTGCTGGCGAACACAAAATACATTATCCTTATTCCTTGTTATGTTTTATTCTTTTTTTACCTACACAATACAAAATAATTGTCACATTCTTTATGTGCTGGAAAAACAAGAAGTTTGTTGTCTGTGTCTTATGACAAAAGCGTCAGGCGCATAGATATAAAGTGGTAAAATTCAAGGGAAACATTTGTTGCATATGTAGGTTATATTTTCAAACTTTTTGATTATTTTTGTAACATAGCAGTTATGTATCATTATTCATTACGTACGTATCCTGAAGGGGTCAAATGGAAAGTTAACATAAGGTTTGTTTTTAAGTTATTCTAGAATTTTCCAATTTGTGGATTTCAAAACATGTCAAAATATTTTCTGGAGCAAGATAAGAATTCGGGGACTTCAGAAGATGAAGAAAATGATTTTCGAAGAGAAGGTGATGTATCGCAATCGATGTGCATTGCTACCAGGCCAAAAGTTTCAACCCCTGTTAGCTTACTTATTGAATCTTTAATTCAAAACATGGTCAATATTTACGAGACTGATACCAAAAAGGCCTCTGTCATGTATAAAGTTGTGTGTGATAAACTTTTCAAAATGGAACTCATTGATGAAAGTTACAAGATGGGTGAATTTGAGGGAATGAGGAGTGAGTACCAAAGAGCATTTTTTCATTTAATCAGTTCTGTAAAAAATGGAGATGTGACAATACCACCAAGGCCCATTTGGCCAAATTCTGAGTTAATTTCCCACTACTTAAGGGAATTTGATGAAATAGAATATATAGCTGGAGGAGGTTTTGGACAAGTAAGTACTTTTCTACTTTAGCTTTGTTCTGACAAATATTAAATTATCAACATAAATTGAAACTATTTTCAACTATTTGTTGCTAGGTCTTTAAGGTCAAACATAAGTTGGATGATACCGAATATGCAGTTAAAAAAATTGCTATACATTCTGAGGGTATTGAGTCAGTAAAACATTATCTCTCGGAAGTTAAAACGTTCGCCAGTATGAACCATTCCAATATTGTCCAGTACAAAGCCGCTTGGCTTGAAATTGGTCCACCTTCCATAAATAAGGCAATTCTTCATACCGAGTGGGATACAACTAATAGCCAGAGACCGAACAAATTTGTTGAACAGTCGGATTATATTTACCATAGGGAAATATCTGGTAATAAATGTAGCTGTAATCAAAACGATATTGTCATAAACACTTATTTGATTTTAAGATTCATTTACGGACAAGAAGTTCAATGACAGCACAGATTTTGAAATTAACTTTGAGCACAGTGCTAGCGGGGTGTCCATACCAAGCCGGTCAAGCTCCAGGAAGTGTAGACAAAAACGTCACAGTGTGTCCGAAGGTGACAAAGCAGTTAGCAAGCTGGACTTGAGGGAAATCGAAAAGATCCGCACCAATAACAGGCCCAAAATAAAATGGGCAACTCTTTACATACAGATGGCTCTGTGTCAATGCACACTGAAGCAGTGGCTGGAGACGAGAAATGATGTGGCTCAACCTGATAAGGCAGTAGTTCAAATGAACAGTGACATTATCAGGAGGAATGCCATTAAGCAGATTCTCATTCAGGTGCTGAGAGGTGGGTTGCAATTTTTGTTGTTTATTACCTTGTCTTTGTCATTATTGATTTTTGTGTTTGTTTTCCAGGTCTGGAATACATTCACTCCAAGGGAATTGTTCATCATGACATTAAACCTAGCAACATTTTTATCCAGAAAGAAAATGGTATTACTTTGATTCAGCTAGGGGATTTTGGGTTAGCATGCCCCTTACAAAGTGTCAGGCACAGTCTAGCATTTGGAACTAAGTTGTATGCAGCACCAGAACAGTTGGCTGGAAAATGTGATCCTAAGGTAATAATCATAAATAATTGTTGATAACTTTTAGACTGCATTCTGCCCAACTTGTAACTCAATAAAAAGTGATGTATATAATAATTAAGAATATATTTACTTATTTTTAAGTCAGGGAAAATAGATCATTTCTTGGAACCATTTTAATTCCAAGTTTATAATAGAAATGAGCTTCGAAAACGTAAAGAGATTGCCAGATGTATTTAAGCAAAATGCAAAAATGAAATATTGGGAACCATAATAAATGTGAAAATGGTGAAAATGGTTAATGGAAAAAAATTGAAAAAATGTAAGCTTAATAAACCAAAACCAAATTTCCCGATTTCAGTTACTTTAGAGGTCACTTTCTCTTTCAACCTTTTTGAGCTCTACTTGAAATCCCAAAATAAATAATTGTAAAACCGATTAAGCAATCCTGGTATGTCTTCTACCCATACTACAAAGGAATCCCGATTAATTGTTAGCAACGACATTGCTAATCAGATAAATTCAACCCCAAAAAATAATTAGTGTTAACGACATTTGGTCGCCATTAGTTTAATACTCTCAAATATCATTGTGGTTGCTTTATCACATTGCTAATATAAATTTAAATTTCAGAAAATAGTCTAATCTACTATTAAGCAACAAATTTGAACACTATTAGTTCATTAATAGTTAAATAAATACCAATTACAAAAGAAAGTGACTTACCAGTGCAAAAACTTCTTCCTTTCGCACCACACCATACACATTTTTAAAAAAAGGATATGCAAAATGATAAATTGAAAATGTACTTCTTCATCGACATCTTACCCAGTAGTTTTTGAAACCTTTTTAAAAGCTACAAATACTTCAAGACCAAAATGTATTTGCACGGTAAGAAAATTCAATTTGCCAAGCAAACTTATTACAACCAGATTATTTTGTTGATGAGAGCAGGAACCGATTTGATAATATTCAGCAAGCTGTGTACAATTTTCAGAACGTCTTTGAGAACCTGTTAATATCTGTTAGTAGAAAGCATTCAGCTGGCGCAGATGAGATTCTGTGCTCTCTTATCGATTTTGTTGCTGTCAATGTGGTGTGGTAGGTACTGATGCATTAAAAAAATCAGTTCAATTACTGAGGTTTAACGAAAAATGCTTTTCTTAAAGATGGAATCGCTTTTGAATAAAGAGAATAATTTTTTTTCAGATATTTTTTTGCGATGTTGTTAATTATTTTTTTATTTAAAACTCTGAGAGTAGGGCTTTGGGAAGAGCTAGATTTACTATTCTTACTACTCTAAACTTCCTTTTTTGTTTCTAAAATACATTAAATTTGAGATATTATCTCAAGTACCTTGCTTTGCCAAAACATACACAGGCAGATTAAATGATCAGAAATAAACATTAAAACATACATACCTGCTTCAAATACTTGAAGATTAATTGTCAAGGGTCTTTGTTTGTTAGATTCTTTCAATAAATGAGGGGGAAATCAAAAATTACTTTATTACCATGGGGATTAATTTAACAATTTTCACTGGTAAAGTGTTTATCATAAAGATCTGATGTATCGGATGGGTAAACTGTACTCACCTAATAGCATATAACCATAACTCTTGGTAAGTTTGTAATAGTCACATAGAGAATTCTGGGTACTTAATACTTAAGTTCTTCAGGAGGTACAATGTTCTGCTGTAGAAATCAGAAAGTGAACAAAACCGCACTCAGCCCCAAATAATAGAACACCCAACACTCCAGGCGAATAAGTCCCATGGCTTGTGTGGTCCGTTTTTTCCATACTTTCTTATTTGCTGCTTTTCTCTCCGCCTTTCTATCCCATTTCTTGCTTTGTCTATTTTCACCTCTGCTTTTCATTTTGTCCTTGCTCTTCCTTGCCTTTTCTTTCCCTCAATTAAGGTAGTCAGGATTATTTTTGGGTCTATTTCCCTATTCATTTTTTGCACAGACCATAACTATCTCAATCGCTGAGCTTTTACAACAAACACTCTATCAGATTCATTCAAGAGGTTTTGTAGTTCTTGCCCATTGTTCACGCACTGTCTTTCCGCCATAAATCTTCGGAAGTTCTGCTCAGCCTTTTTCCAACGTGCATACCTCGCTTTCATAAGTAACAATGACCTTTACTTTTCTGGTAATCTCTTTATTAAACTAAGCAAAACTACCCTATTCAACGCATTTATACTGCGGCTTTCTGTCATGAGTTTATTCTGTATTTCCTCTGTCACACCCAGTTTTCTTGTGGTTATGTTTCTGTTCGTTTCAATTATTAGATATTGTTTTTGAACTCATCATCTGACCATTTCATGGACTTAGTTTTCTCCTCATTTCTTACTTACTTCTTGCTAGGATTACCAGGTCATCTGCAAAAGTCAGGCATTGAGGTCTTTTTTGGCTTTCCTTATGACCTTCCCTAGACATAAACTAAGTAACACCGATGACAATAGATCACTCGGCCTCACTCCCTCTTTGACCTCGAACCTATCCGATATTTTTTTGTTGATTTTTACCCTATTATCTGTCTTTTTTAGAGTCGCTTGGACCATGCTTGTTATTCTTGATATGCGTCGCCAGTATTTTATAGGTCACGTTAAGGAGTGCTATACCCCTGTAGTTCTGACCATTACTTTTAACCCCCTTTTCATAGTATCACGTCCGTCCAATATTCTCAACCAATTTATATCCAATTTATATCCGTCCTCCTCTAACCTTTTTCCTCCATATTTAAACATCTCAACAGTATTTTCATCGCATCCTGAACTTCTGTTTTTCTTTAGCTTATGTATATAGAACAATGTCAACTTAAACAAATGGCGATAGATAAAGCCTCCCTGAGGTTAAAGAATATATGAATACAGCGACTCTCAATAGCTTACATATAGATATTGCAGTTAATCAACTTTGTGCAACAAGGGTTACAGATAAGATTGTATCTACTATAGATCATGTACTAACAAATAAAAACCTTAGTTGGTTAAATTAAATTATTGATTTAATAATAATTAATAATTTAATTAAATTAAATTATTGTGATAGTAGTGTTTCCGATCATAGAATATTAAGGATAAAAGTACTAACAAATTCTCCATCTGTAAAGGATAATAAGCGTCCAAAACAGTGTCTAACCAAAAACCTGTTTATTGACCAGGCCATTGACTAATTAAATCTAACCTATAGAAGCAATAGAAGCAATTAATTAAAACACGTGGCAAACTGTATAAACAAGAGATAAAATATCCAAATAATTTACAGGTAGGCGCTGCTTTTTTTAATCAGAAAAGAATAATTGAAAAGCAACTATATTTTTTCAAGAAAAATGGGAACAAACCGGTACAGATCAGAAAAAACTAACTCAGAAATAAAGCATATTGAAAATCGAGGAGTTTGTATAGACGATAAAAAACAGGCTTCTAACGTGTGTAATGAATATTTTGTTAGTATTAGTAGTGGGTGGTTCTACCTGTTTCATTGAGATTGAAATAACAGATCAATGTTTTTAAGTGAAATAGATTACGTAGAAATCTCACAGATAATAAACAACAACTTAAATAGTAAGTCCTCAGCAGGATTTGATAATATTAACACTAAATAAAAAAAATGTACCATCACTGGTAACACGAATAAATAATACCTTTGTAGAAGAAAAATTTCCTGACTCCGTGAAGATTGGCAGTCACTCATATACATAAAACTGGATCACTCAGTCCGGTAGATGATTATAGGCCACTAACAGCAATACCATTTTTGTCAAAAATAGTAGAAGTAATCTAAAAAAACGTATAATCTTATTTGTATCAAAATGTATTAGCGTTATAAATACCAATATGGATTTCAAGAATATAACAGCAAATAAGCGCAAGTGCGAATCGTGTCAATTTTATCTTCACCTTCATTGATAATAAAAGCTAGGCGGTAGCAGTATTAATTCCACAGTACTTTTGAGTAAAATAGAAAAAATGTACATTAGGAGTAATGCTCATATGTATCTCGCATGATTCCTGAAAGATAAGGTACAATGCACTTTTGTAAGTAACATTATTAGCTCTAAGGAATTTATGAACTGTGTAGTACCGCAGGGCTCGAGACTTTGTCGACTGCTTTATGCTTTGCTATTTGCTGATGATATATCAATAGTGTACAGAAGTACAGATCTAACAAGTCTGAAAAATACTGTCAACAGTGATTTAAATAAATACCAAAACTGGCTCAATACTAACAAACTATAAATCAATATAAAAAAAAACATTATATGCTCACAAAGAAATGTAAAATATCCTAATTTAGCAATAAACATAGGACGGGAGGAAATTCAGGGAGTCCAGTATACAAAATGCCTCTCATCTTAGATGAAAAACTATGGGTTTGAACACGTAAAAAATAAAATTATACCGATGATAGGTAGATTAAGTAGATCTCAATTGTATCAAACATATAACTCATATTTTTTCTCAATATTTAAATACCTTGTTCCCTTGTGGGGTACATGCGGAATAGCCTTGTTTTGTAAAATGAGAAAACTAGAAAATGAAGTAGTAAAAATGTAATTTCAGATCGATTATAGAACACCAACGGATTTAGTATGTGAATTCACCGGTATATTAAAATTAAGAGTATAGATTGAAACCAGAACAGAGTAAATTTATATAAATATTTAAATAAGAAAAAAATGTAATATCAATATAAAGTCTTATAAACCACCTTCACGAGCATAATAAACATAACAGTCATAATATAATAGTACATAATGTTAGAACCAATGTAGGAAATAATCCGATAAGTAAAAATATTAAAACATTCAACTGACCGACGACCTGGGTGGACAGAACTTGGCTTATGAAAAATTTGTATTTGTATTGTAAAAGTATATGTATGGTTAATGTAGTAACTATGTACACTTGAATGTGTAAATGTTTGGTCATGTCCTAATTTTCATTCTAAGATTAAATTGTAAGAGAAATATCCCAAGGTCACACAAAACAAAATAGTATATCTCTTTGCTCAGATTAGCACCGCCCTTTTCTTCTGTTCCACTCTGGAATCAATCTTTACGCATGGAGGCCAATTTTGATTAGGAAACAGTCTCGATGCTATACTAAAGTCGCGGACCCCTTTTAGAGCGACATGTACTCGGTCGGTATCGTCTTATTCGAGCTGGTCGAGAACTTTAAGACCGACATGGAACGTGTGGAAAACATTACGGAGTTGAGAAAGGGACGCCTGCCTGTCAGCGTTGCTTCCGGCGAACCGGAATTCGCTCACGTCATCGAGAAATTGATGCGGAAAAAGCCGGAACTCAGACCCGACACCACCGCTTTGCTTCACTCACTGACAGCTTCCGAGGAAAACGGCAAAGTCGAGCTGCTCAAGGCTCAACTCGCAGAGAAAGACGAAGAAATCGCCCACCTCAAGGAGCTGCTGAAGTCTCACGGTATCAAAAGCGTTTAATGTGATATGATTTTTAGATGTCGTTCATCGGAAATAATGTTTAAAGTTAGGTTAGGTTTAAAAAGCCAACGTCATTACGGTTGCTTTCGGCAAGTTCCGTTGGTGCGGATCATTCTTTCCTATTACCATAATTATTATAAGTTATGATTAAGCATAATAATTCTTTTGATCGTGGTTAAAATATGTTTATAAGGAAAATCAATCCGGTGCTTCTCTAACCCTTGAATTTTTAAATCATTGTATTAAATCGTTTAGGTGTTGGTGCAGACTCAGGCGAATCGGCCCTTTCGATTGAAATTTCGTGATAGTTCGTGAAAGTTCTTCTTCAAGAATTTACGTTTGTGATTTTTTATTGAATGACTTATTTACTACTAGCGCACAATACGCTAAGGCCTAATTTTATTTTATTAACTTCAAAAATTGCCTAAAATGATATGTAAAATTTGCGTTTCTATTCCTTCCGTAAAATAAGCCGAACATATCTGAAATACACTCACCATCATGAAAACCAATATTATACATAAAAAAGGATATTTAATGTTTGGTGATATTTTATTGTTCTGATAACTTACCCACAAACTAAACAACATATCTCAATTAATTGTTATTAACAAACAACCAATCGTATATTTCAACAGTACAAAAAAACAAGTTTATATTATCCCAATGTTATCTTTATATCAATGAAAGTGTATTGCTAAGAAATGCTGAAACGAGGCATTTCTATCAACGGATATTACCTTCACGTGCTTGAATTGCCTCCATTCTTCTTGGTATGCCTAAAATGAAATAGCGGATGTCTTCGTGAGGGTTAAGTTCCGATTCCTCGAATAAGGGTTGTTCTAATTCACTTCAAGATAAAGGAGCAGGAGCATGAGTTCCTATTCTTCGCTCATGCATGTCCGAAATCCGAAATAAACTACTTCAATTACTTCAATCTGTGTGCTGGAGAATAGTTCGTAATGTTTTTGACGTATATGTGTGTGCAGTTTTGTTTTGAGATAGAGATAGAGAATTAAACTTTTGTTTCCCCCAAAAAATAATCAAACAGTTTTATGGAAACCAAATTTGGGAAATATTTTATCGAAGTTATTGTCCAGACACACCCAATGTTTAATAACAAATCTATTTCATGCTTTTATGACTCTCAAAAACATAATTTATTCAAGCTTGCCGCACTTTTTGAAAAATAGCTGTAATATTCTTAATTTTTTTTTTTCAAAATAAACTAATACACAGGTACTGTTTTAAACTTTATTAAAATATAAAAATAAATTTTATTTCTAAAAAATACAAATTTATTAAAAAGAAAACACCTTTTCCTTGTTAAGGTCGGAACCTGTCCCACACTACCTCGAAAGATGCCGCGTAGAAAGAAGGGAGAAGCCGCAGTATCAACAAAAAATGTCTAATTGCCGTTTTTTTTTTCTCAATTCGAGGCTAGAACAAATGTTACAAACGCCACCACATTTTAAGCATTTAGTGGTTGTCTTTTGGTAAACCGCGAACTATTCCACAGGATGATTTTTTAATCATATAAACTTTCGATCACCTGGTTATAGCTTTAAAAATCACACTGACATTTTCTCCTCTCTTTAGGTGTTAAGACGTAGATGTTTTGCACCTTTCGTTGTTAGGACTTCATCAGGTTTGTTGATTAATTGAACATCTGTCTCATCCATATTTAAAATATGAGCCGGCTTATACAATAGGTATCACTCAACAGATAGAAAAATGTGGGAGTTTCTTCTGCGTTAATTTCTCTAGCTTTTGACTGTGATAATCCTTGAGAATGCTTTATTGGCAATGCGGAGTTTTTTTTTTTTTAATGATAGCAATAATATGTCAAGCTGCCATTGTCAGAAAATTTGTGTTTCAATTTTAGTTTGTCCGCAAAGTTGAAAGCCAACCGTCGAACTGTAATTTAAGTGCAACTGTCATTTTGCACTGAGAGATGCCGGGGCTGGTTATCAAGGTCCGAAATTTAAAATGCACAAAAATAAGGCATAACATGTGTAAACTTAACTTTAAAATATTGAAGAAAACTTCCGAAATTTATTAGAACAGTACTTAGTTCGTTATTTTTGTGGCTTTTTTTATTTAGGAACTTTTATCAAATACCTGGACGCTGATTTAGAAGCATAATTTTTGGTGTCTTGATCGTGATTAGCCGATCCTGAACTAAATCTTGACGAAAGGCACACACGTTACCGCCGCCCGTTATCATCTTTGTAAATCTGGGAAATGGAAATAGCGGTTGATGTTACTTGCCAATTTTCGTGGAACCATGTGCCTTCAATTTTAATATTGTGATCGCGCCTATCGCGTTTTAGCAGTTAAGAACTGTCGTCGCGCTCATTAAACGCTAGTCGATATAACGGCCCCTGACAGAGGATTTTTGTGTTCCTAGCAAGCCTCAAAATAAATATCAAAATAACGTCACATCATTGTGAAATACTTAAATAAGGTTAGGTTGTATTATTACCTCGTTTATAATAGGTTTTTTTTCACATCAAATCCGAAACGGCTTTCTGATCGATGTAAAAACAGTATAAAAAGAAGAAGCCTGCCTACTGTTAGGTTGGTTGTTACTTGTTCTGGAGTTATAATTTATCAGCAAAATGTTACACTAAAATTCATATTATGTTGAACTTCAATAATAAGTAATAACCAAGCATAACAAGGAATCCCCTCATTTGTATTTATTTCATTTTGTGTGCATTAATATACTAATATTATTGAACTGTCAGACTAGTGATTTGAAGCCAGGTTCAAACTTATGTGTAAAAGGTAAAGATCAATAGCAATACACTCCAAACCTCTCGAAGTTTAAAAGTAATGTGAAAACAAACATAATGTAATCAGGCGAATTTGAATTTGAATATTTTCTATATCTATGTATATTTTTTCAAAAGCGATGTGAACGGGTCGTTTTTCTTATTAGAATTTACGAAAAAGGTACAAAGGTATTGATTTCCAGAAGAGCGGCAATATTTTTTTTCAGTATAGACGTTTAAGAATCGACAATTTAAGCAATTTCTTGTCAGGGACCATATTTCTAGTAGTAATACATAATTAGTTAGGAATTAAATGGATGACAAAATGTGCCGGTCGCCTCTTGGAAGGATTTAATTATTATTGATTGGAGTGTGCTACTAGGGGAGAGAACAAATTAATCATTGTAGAAACTCGGCAGACAGATGTTTTCTTTGTCATTCGATTTGAGACCTGTTAAGACAGTAATTATTGCGTTTTTGGTTATTTCCATACAGTCCGTTTGTAGTCATGTGGAAGTTTAGTTTTAAGCGAGTGTTTTCTCGAAAGACCGTTTTTATATTTTCTGTGAAAATCTAATTTATTCTGTATTTTGTAAGGACTTGTTTTTCTTCTTTTTTAATAAAATATTTTTTAATAAATATGGCAGTTTTATTGAGAGCGACATATACTGGGCAGCTTCAATTTGTCTGTCATCGCTTCCTACTTTCTGTTTGAGTCACATTCGCGAAATTGTGACCTCTGTGGACCAAACATGTGAATTACGAAAAAATCCATTTTGAACAATACAACTTTTTAGTATGTGAAGTCGGAATGAAAAATATCTGAAAGCACTGATATTAAAAGTAAGAAATGGGAGTTTTCTACAATATGTCTTAGTCAACCTCTTTTAATGCTTTGTACGTTTCCCATGTTTACTTAGGAATAATAAAATCGCATTGGTACTAATTAATTAAATTAAATAGGTAAAAAAATTATTCCGTTTCACTCACGGAGTCATCATTAAATGTCAGAATCTTTAATCAATTCTTAAACTGCGCTCTACTGTATTTTTCCACCTCTCAGTAGGTGTATTATTAATTACATTTTTAATTAATTTTATTAGACTCGGACTTAGGGGTAGCATTTTCTGCTCTCGCATTTGATTTTGCTTGGTGTCACAAATGTTATCCGTTAGATTCTGTCGTGAGAATCGATCCCTGTAGAATCCTTTGTTTTCGTTCGTCAAAAGTAGAATCTGTAGGTAAGCCGCAAGCATTCTTCATTTTTAGTAAGTGTCTAAACATAAATTTAATTCATACAAAATATTTGGTGATTGCATTGTCAAATATTTACTGCTGGAATTTTTATTTTTCTACTCCCTTCTGTAAAATACCTAATTATGCGGAAAGCGTCACTTTACCACGTGAGTTTCTTGTCCCATGGATCCGAGCCACTTCGGACATTTCCGGGATACTACTGCACGGGTTTGGGAGCAATCGGATGTTTTCGAAATTATTAATTCTGACGATCATGTCAGTGAATCTATTCGTGTTGTTTTGCAAAAATGTACGCAAAAACGTAGATAAAGTATAGTATGCAACAAGTTTGGTAAACTTTTTATGCTGTTTACCACACTTTTTAAAGAAATCAGTCCAAATCACACTGATAATAAATATCTCGAAAAATGCATTTTGATGCTTAAGTTCCTTGGAGTTCCACTTCAAGTTAATGTGTACAAGGTGGTCGTAATTGGAGTGTTTTAAAAGGAAAAACTTGTTTCTGAACTACATAGAGCAAATTGACATGTCAAGGGCTCGATTTTTGAGAAACATTTAATGGTTAAAACCGCATGGCGAGATCTTTACTACCTTCCGAGATATAGCGCGTCTTTCAATTTTGGCCCATTTTGAAATTTGCATACACCTTTTTTATTTATAAAAATTTTGGATTCGGATAAAAATATTATTGAGGCATTTTTTAAAGGGATATGCAATGACTAACTCCGATTTTTTCTACAATTCTCTACAATTTTCTGTCATATAAATTTGTTGGTATCTGTGATAAAAAAGGAGTCATTTTTTGTGTAGGCCGTTCATATCGCGGTCAATGTCAGATAAGGACATAACTTCTATTTTTTTCATTTAGCAATTTAAAATATACCAAAATTATGTGTTAAATTTTGTCAAACGAAAATGCAGGCCCAGCTAATGAACTTTATTTTAATACATATCCAGAGCGGCACCAACCAGACAAGTGAATATTTCACACGTTAAAAAATAATTGAACTAAAAAACCTAAATTCAGGCCATATCGTACCAGAAAAGTCCATCAATTACATGAAGGGGATGCCGGTAGAAGAATACAATTTTGTAAGCGGTTTATCGGAAAATGCAATGAGAACATTAATTTTCCATTGTGCATTATTTGAAGTCATGAAACATGAATTGACTGTTCAGGAATATTTAGTAGATACAATTAATTCTGATCGCTTGAGCATAGAAAATTCTCAATATCGACAAGGAGTATTTAGTCAGATGAAATCTGACTGAAATCATTAGTTAGCTGATTGTACATTGTAGCAACTGTTAAATCCGAGAGTGTAATTAAACACGGAACCGAACCTAAACAATTTACTGTTCAAAAGAAGTGGGTACAAATATATAAAAAAAGTAAAATAACATTTCAAGCGACTTAAATGCTCAAAATTCGGAAGAGCGTTTTTAAAAATATTTATTTATACAGAAAGCAAAATAAAGTTTTTAATATTAATTAAATATCTCAATTTTACAATATGACAATCGAGCAAATAGGGTTTTCGATGCTGTGTCAACGAGGCGTTATCTTCGCTTAGCTTTGGTCTTCGTCTGCAGTTTGGGGCATATAACTCGCGTAATAACATTCGCCAACGTCCATCTTTTCGTCTTCGACTAGCATCTTCTTGTTACTTTTTTTTGGTACCCTGTGACTCACTCTAGCGGGACCGTACGTATCCGTTTATGGGCGGATAGATAGTGGTGAGAGCGTTCATTTGTTACAACATACAACATTCCATTATGTTTTATCATTCACTCTCCAATAACTCTTAAACTATTCAGCATATATATATATATATATATATATATATATATATATATATATATATATATATATATATATATATATATATATATATATATATATATATATATATATATTTATATTCTCACGTATTGATTCACGGATGGAAAAATGTGATGACACTATACTCCGGGATATCATCCGTTCGCTCGTTGAACTCCGACTGGAATCCTGCATCCGACTGGAATCCTGCAAATCCAGCATCCGACTGGAATCCTGCAGACGTTTCGCCAAAATCTCACTTGGCATCTTCAATGCTCGCGCTCCGAAAACACTTCGAACACTGGGAGGTTATCGGCGGTGCGTGCGGTATTTATACTCTACGCCGAAGATGGTAACGGTGCTGCTTGTGCGTGGGGGGAGGTGGCTCCGCCCCCTGAATTGTCGCGTTGTTAATTTCGCCCGATCGTAGTTGCGATGTCCCCGTTGGCTGCTGCGCATCGCTCTGCTGTTTGATTATCGTTCTCCACGTGTTGGATAAATGCAGAGCGTCGTCTCTCGTATTGAGGTGTCCGGACTTTTCTATTTCGATGGCCTCTCGTATAATCCTAGTCCTAAAATCAGGAATATTAGCTATTTGTTTGCAAGTGCCGAAATCAATTTTATGGCCTGTCTGATGTTGGTGCTGAAACAAAGCAGATGTTGTTTGTTTGTTTCTTATGGCTAAACGATGTTAGTCGAGCCTGGCTGAAATCCTTCTGTTGGTCTGTCCCACATACGTCAGGCTGCACGATCCGCATGCTACACTGTATACTCCTTGGTTTTCCAGAGTAATTTTTTGTTTTGGGTTTCTTAGTATTGCTCTGATGGTATGGTCAGGTTTGTATGCCGTTGATATGTCGTGTTTCCGTAATATTCGGCCGATTTTGTCAGTAACCCCCTTGATGTATGGCAGGACAGCGATCGATCTTCGTTGGGTCTCGTCCTGCACTCTCTGCTGCGGCTGTTGTTGTTTACTGATTGCCTTGCTGATGGTACGGCTTTGGTATCCGTTTTGTCGAAGACAGGTACTAATTTTCTTCAGTTCTTTATCTCTGTTCCTCTCGTTTGTGAGCCTGAAGGACCGAGCAATTAATGTATTTGCCACTGCCTGTATCTGTGATGGGTGGTGATGAGATTTAGCGTTCAGATATCTATTAGTGTGTGTTGGTTTTCTATAGACAGTGTGTTCCAAGTGTCCATGTTCGGTCCTTGTGATGTGCACATCTAAAAAGGGCAGACTGTTATCCTCTTCAAGTTCTATTGTAAATTGAATCCTTGGGTGGATGGAATTCAGATGATCTAGGAATTTCAAAAGCTCCTCCTTGCCAAAAGGCCATACAACAAATACGTCATCAACGTATCTTGTCCATAGTTTTGGCTTCAGATTTGCCTTCTCTATTGCTTTCTTTTCGAAGTAAATCATGAAGAGGTTAGCAATCACAGGTGAGAGAGATGATCCCATTGCTGCTCCATCTATTTGTCGGTAAATTTTCCCGTTGTGCATAAAGTAAGCGTTTTTCAGGCAATGTCTTGACAGATCCATTATGTATGGCGGAAGATCTTCGTTTTCTTCTATAAGCAAGAGTGCCTCTTCTACTGGAATACTCGGGTAGAGGGATTTGACATCGAAACTTGCCATAATGTCGTCCTTGTCCATCCTGAGAGAACCTAAAATCTGAGTGAAATGTTCTGAGTTTTTAACATAGGAATCTGCCCTTTCCACTATAGGCTGAAGTGCACTGGCCAGATGTTTTTCCAGCTTGCATAATGGTGAGTTAAAGGCGCTTACGATTGGACGCAGGGGAACCCCGTCCTTATGGATCTTTGGGAGCCCGTAGAATTTTGGGCAACGACTCGATTTTTCCCTCGGAATAAGTTTCTTCTTTGTATCCTCGTTTATTGATGAATCGAGAATTTTGGACTTAGTTGTTTTTTCCAAATATGTCGTGGGATCTCTGGTGACTAGTTTGTATATTGGGTCGTTCAAAATATCCTCCAATTTTGCATTATAATCCGACGTATTCATGACGACAGTGGCATTTCCTTTGTCTGCTGGCATTATTAGAATGTTTTCGTTTTTGTTTAGATTCCTTAAGGCTTGCATTTCTTCTCTGCTTAAGTTTGGCTGCGGTGGTTTTGACTGTCTTAAGACTCTGGTGACATCTTGCCTAATTTACTCCGCATCTTGTTCGTCTATGGTGGAAAGACTTGCTTCGACGTTGGAAACGATCTCTTCGACGGGTACTCTTTTTGGAGCTATTGCATAGTTAAATCCTTTATTCAGTACGCTGACTTCTGTATCGGAAAGATGGTATGCTGAAATATTATGAACTGTATTGCTTCGGTTTGTATTTGGCACTTGTCCTGATTTTTTGGAATTTGACTGAAGGATTTCTAATTTCTTCCACAGTTTTTTTGACGTGATGTCCTTGTCTTTCTCAGTGCGCCATGATGTTAATAATTCTATGCGGCCCCACAGCAACTGATGGATCTTGTTGCTCAGTTTCAGGTGGAG